GCGGCGGCGGCTGTCTCTCGCGCCCAACCCGCAGACTTCCCTTCCCTGTGAATAAGAGATACGAACGCGCGCGTGAAGATGGGGGAGGGGGGAGAGAGAAAAAAGGGAGAATGTCATTCGGACACCGGAGCTGGAGTCCCCAAGGGGAGAGAACGCGCGACACGCAGCCCTTGGAGATGGGGGGGCTCAGGGCCGGGGTCCTCGAGGCGACTCAACGGCCTCTCAGGAGCCGCTGAGAAGCACCAGAAACGGGGGGGGGGGGGGTCGGAAAAAAGAAAGCGAGGATCTTCACCTGGTTGAGGCAGTCTTCGCCGTTGCCTTTGGCCTCCACCTCCACCTCCATCACCACGGCGTCCGGCCTGGTCACATAACACAGCATGGCCGCCACCTCGCCGTGAAGACCCACACCAAAAAAAGCCTCTGATTCCGTAGCGGCTTGCGCTACCCACCCCGCTACAACACCCTCCCAACGCTGAAGCTAGTCCTGCTTTGAGGCGAAGGAAAAAGCTCCGGCTCTTATATCTCCTCGGTTGGCTCCTCCCTCCTCAGGCCCCACCCCGATGAAATTTTAACCAATGAAAACACCCTCTTCTGTGTACATGCAGCCGTCTAAGCCAATTGAAGGCTAGAAGGGCTCAAGAGACGGTTTGTTCGTGTCAAAGACTCACTGGCATTAGAGACGTTGGCCGAAAGCCTTTTGGATATCCTCCGTGAGGGTGGCAAGAATGGGGGGAAGCCAGAGGAAATTGGGCGCTCGTTTGATGGTAGCGCCTAGAGTTTCGGATTAGGACGCAGGAGACTTGGATTCGAATCCTAAATTGCCCCTAGAAATTCACGGGGGCAGGACAGTAAATGACTCTTGGAACATTTCATACACCCTCAAAACTCTTATTACGGTTACCATAAGCCGTAAGCAACTTAACGGCATGTAGCAGCAGCGAAAGAAAAATAGTATTGTACAGAAAAAGGACGCTGACAGAGAACTGGCGAATTAAAAGTCGTATGGGACTTTCCATGGAAGAAATTCGTTTTTTAAAGTTTATGTGTGCTAGTAAGATAACAGAAGGATAGACACAGGAACATAATCTGAAATAGGTCTGTAATAACTCTTAATTACAACCCCGGTTTGCAAGAATATCAAGCTGTATAACTGATCCTTTTAATAAACATACCTATTTTTAGTTCTACTGTACAAGCTTTATTCATCTGCACTACTAAAACAGCTGGTACCTTGATATGCCTTCCTAAGTGCTGGAGGCTTGCTAAGTGAGGGAAAATAAAACATGGGAATAGATCCCATTCATAGATCTGGATGACATTTCATATAAGATATTTGTGATCCAGTTGGCACAGCTGTCCATAAATTCAGTGCACTGAAAAATAAGATTACCTTGGAATTTAGTTAAATGAACAGAGGAAATCACAGACTTGCTATAAATGTTAGAACAGAAATAGCCCAGAGCAGTTACTTTAAAGGAGAGAATGCAACAAATACTTAAAATTGGCTATGAAAATGCATTGTTCAGCACTATGTATTCTCAGTTAGTACAGAATCGTGGACTTTTAGCACAAGGCACTATAAAAAAGAAACAATCATTTGAAACGTGGCTTTATTGCAAAATGCTAAGAATGTTTAAGGTCAGACCAGTGAAGAAACAGTGAGGCAAACTACTAAAGACCAATAAATAATAAAACACATAAAATGCAGAGAACTAGAATATTTACAACCAACAAGAACCAAGTCCAAGATTTATTAAAGTTTGGCACAGCCTGCTGTGTGTAAAATCCTTGTGCACAGAGAAGTATCAAAATTGTTTATAAACCATGTAAACCTTTTTCTCTGGTTCAGCATCATCATAACTTCTTTGCCTTTGGATGTGGCAACCTTCAGCAATGATGTTGTGTGGCATCCAGACCAGTCGCCGTTTTTTTAGCCAGTCGTGTCTTCTACTTCGTCTGCTTCACTCTCATTTATTTTACTTTGAAGGATCAGCTGTAACACTCTGTACTTTCTGTTTCTCATTATGTGACTGTTTCCATATTTCTTATATTGTTATGTGCCGTCAAAGCATTAGGATCTCCCTAATTGGGTTTTCAACGTACATGAGATATTCATCTAGTGATTTTGTTGGCCCCAGTGAGTTTCCATGGCTGGGTGGGATGTGCAACTAGATGTCCTGAGTCCCAATCTATATACCTAATTATCTCCAATTTCATATGTATCTTTGCAGTGTTATGGCACAAAATGATTCTACGGTATTACATGAATTAGAATTTATTTATTACGGTGAGGTGACCAGCCCACGAAACATATCCATGGCTAAAACATACAAAATACAGTTTAAAATAATATACAAACAATTCACAAAACATACCATGTGGCCAAAATGCAGCTCAAAAGTATATAGCCAATCCACTAAACACATGACATGGTCAAAACACACAAAAAGCAATTTAAAAAGTGCACAATAGGCAATCAGCCATGCACTGATTGTAGAACACGGGGAGAATAAAACACCACACCTCTACAGCTATCCCCCCGAGCCATTGTTCCTTCGGATCGAACCATAACACCTCTCCATGCTAGACAATAAACCACCCAGTATTACATGAAAAGAATGTTCTGCTTGAATTTCAAATGTAATAAGCTTTACATTTATGTTTCCTAGAACTAGCTCTTGTTAGGAAACTTACCTTGTGAAATGTAGCACTGTATCAGATGAGCACTATAATATTGCCTTGCTAAATTCCTTTGTGGAATAGAGGTCAGATGAAAGGAAGGAGTGAGGAAGAAGGTAGTGAGGAGGCTAAGAGGCTGTAACCCAGGTGAGAAATTTAGCAATTTTAGAGATGCAACAACGAACTTTTGTAACACACCTTCCCAGGTTAATTAAACATTGTAGTCTGAACAGTAACCATGATTTCAGCAGCTGAAACTGCTAAGTTTGTGGTATAGAAAACTCCAATCAAACCCCCAAAAATTCCCTGTGTTGTTACACCTGGAATTTACTTCCAAGTAACTGTATACTGAATCATAACCTTGGCTGGTTTTTTTTTTGTTTTTTTTTACCTTCTCATGACAGAAGGTACTATCCTTTGTGGATGATGTGCATAGTGTCAAATTCACAACTTCTGGGTGAAACTATATATTTACTTATTTATTTATGTGCTCTGCCTTTCTTCTGATAAGGTGCAAAAGGTAACTCAAAATCAATTAATGGTGAAATGGAATGATAGAGGTAGAGTATGTTTAGAACTTCCAAAATTTTCAAAATTTATGGCAAAGCAATTAGAACTGAGCAAAGTGCACAAAATTTGACACTCCAAATCTCTTCATCAAAATGTTACATAAAGCAGAAGGTGGAGGAAAAGGCTGGCTTAATCCTGAAACAATGAATTTTAAGATGGAGTGTAGGAGGAGATACAATCTTAAACACCTCAATCTCAATTAGATATTATGCAGATTTCACATTACATCCAGGCCTACTGGACAAAGAAACATGTCAAAGCCAATATAACCAATTCTTTTAAACTACAAAATCTACAGTAGTTATTACTTAGCCATGGAAAGTGAGTGGAAACTGGTAAAACCACTGTGATGATCACCCACGTCACTCATGCCATTCATATTCATTAATTGATTTGCATGAACCTATGAGGGGACTGGAGAAGCGGAGTCAGCAGCTACATGAGGTTTGGCGGGGGAAGGAGGAGTCAGATAAGTCTGGTTAGTCAGAGAGAGAGGGAACAGATACTAAGAATAGGTGTGATCTCCATCTTCATATCTGGGGTCTTCCTCCTTCTAAAATACGTTGAACTCTATTTGGATACCTAGATACATAACTCACAAACAAAAACTTGCTTTTCTTTTTAAAAACCTAATTTTCTCTCACTTCTTTTGTATAGGCCTGGGTTGGGAATTTTGACCCTTCAAATATTCTGACATATACTCTCCTCCTCTCCATGATGTATGGTGAGTGATAAGGGATTGTGGAAATTGTCTTAAACATCTGTTTTTTGTTTGTTTGTTCAGTCGTTTAGTCGTGTCCGACTCTTCATGACCCCATGGACCAGAGCACACCAGGCCCTCCTATCCTCCACCGCCTCCCAGAGTTGTGTCAAATTCATGTTGGTTGCTTCGATGACACTTGTGGAAATTGTCTTAAACATCTGAGGAATCAAAAACTTCTCAGTCATAATATGGGCAATTATTTGCATCTGCATAGAAAGACTGAAAAAGGTGGAGTAAAGATGATCAACGTTTGTCTATTTATACAAGGGGGCCAGCAACTCCAGTAGGTCCATGGGGCCAATTTCACCCTGCATGTCCCACTGCATGCTGGCCCCCACTTTATGAGAAGAAACAAAAACCCATTTATACGATGCATTGAAAAGTTAGCACACGTTTTCCTATTGGCAAGATGCATGATGTGGCTTCCAAAATCACTTTTTAGTTAATCACATATTTTTGACAACTCCTAGATAGAACAAACAAGTATTTGACAAAACTCCTGAAGGGAGTTGCTTGTAATCAGTCAATGCAATGCTGCGGCCACAAATGGCCTATAGTAATAATTGTGCTCATCTTCAGACACTTTTTAAAAAGCATAATAAACAAATATCTCTAGAAGAAATAGCAAAAGGAGCTGAAAGACACGAATTGTTCTCTCACCATGCAAGCTGATGACACTAAGTGCAATTATGCATTTGTTTGATTCATATTCTACTCTCAGAGCCAGTATGGTGGCTTTCCACTGCAAGCTACTGTATTTTTCCATGTATAAAACAAACTTTTTCCTTAAATAATTAGACAAAAAATTGAGGGTCGTTTTATACACGGAAGGCAGCCGCTTTTCCTGCCTTTTGCAAAGCCACAGGACTTAACAAAAAGGAAGGGAAGGCTCCTTATCGGGTAAAGCAGCCATGAAAGGCCTGCATGATCGCACCCCTTTGATCCTGAAGCAGCCATGAAAGGGCTTCAGGATCAAAGAGGTGCAATCGTGCAGCCCTTCCATGGCTGCTTTATTCACTTCCTAAGCCCCGCAGGGATCAAATTTTTCTAATTTGGGGGTTAGAAAAAAGGGGGGTCATCTTATACATTGGGTCATCTTATAAATGGGGGGTGGTTTCGTCTTATAAACAGAAAAATATGATCTGTCCCAGTGATTGTATGACACACAGGGAATTGCACTATAACCTGACCCTGATCCATGCCCAAGCTGGACCTTTATGGTCCAGCTGTAGAGCTACGAGGTTTTGGGGGTGGGCTGGAGCAATTCCCCAAGAGACAGAACAGTTGCTTTCAAGGAGACCATTCCCAGCAAAGCAATCCTTTCCAGTGAGATTGGACACCATTTTTAATCCACATCTTATCACGCTTTCTGTCAGTTTGAAAGAATTTGTATGGAAAGGGATTTTGATTGGACATACGTGAGTGGAGAGCTACTCTTGGAGAGAAGATTGTGTTTATATTGGCAAGACTAAAGCCCTGCTAACTCGTTAGTGA